TTGCAGAAATCTGAGCATATTCTTTTCTTCAGAGGAAACTGAACCTGCAATGATGGCCATGGGCACCGGGAACCTAAAATGGCCCAAGGGTTTGGATGCAGCCTGGGTATGCCACGAAAACCACAGAGTCTGACTGGCAAGGATGCAGGCCCCTTTGGAAGGCCTTTCAAGACAGAGTCACCCCCGAAACCCAGCCCCGCTGGGTCAACTGGCACCTAGTCCTTTGTCCCTCATCTGAGCCCAGGTGCAATCCCACCCTCCCACACTGAAGCCCAAATGGTGCCCGGCCTGTTTAAAATGGTCCAAATATCAAGTGCCACCGTGTTGGGGGGGGAAAAGAAGCAGGAGCAGAGCGAAGGTCATAAAACGTCCCCGTTTTTATTGGCTGAAACCAAAAAAAGGCTCCTTGGGAAACAATGAGCAGGTGCAAAGTAACACAAAGGCGTTTACAGTTTCCTTAGTCAGGCCTTGGATGTAGGAGGCAAGGGGAAGGAGGTGGTGGTGGGGGGAATAATAAAAAAAAAAAATAAAAATCAGTCAATCACCTTTTGCAAACTCAAACCCAATCCAAGCAGAGGCAACCCCTGCACACCCCAGAGGGCAGTGACCTAGGAAGGATTTCACCTGCTGCGGAGGGATTTCTGGGTTCACTTTTGCAGCTTCAGAGGTTTTTCACACTCAAAAAGGAAGAACCCTGGCAGCGTTCGAGTGATCCACCTTCCCCCTCGGCGCTCCAGGCATCGAGCAAGTCAGGATTACAGCTGCACCCTGGGACGCGGGCAACGCGAGGAAGATGGCATTACTGACACCACGTGGGCTTCCCCACCCCAAAAGGCCTGGCAGAGACCCCAGATCTACGTGGCGTCAAGTAGAATTTGTTCAGGGAAAAAGAGCCAGGCAGGGGTAGGTGGAAGCTGCTTGGGGGAAGAAACAGGCAGCCACAAGGTGCTGACAGCTTTAGCGATGTGAATGAATAGAGGATGGGAACGCTTTGCCCTCTGGCAACGAGAGAAAGAACACGCCCCGAGCAGAGCCACTGCATCTCCTGCATTTTAATTTAAGAGCCAAAAGCAGCAGCAATCACATAGTGCAGCCCTGCATGCCAGGCTGATACCATGTCCTGTATGTCACTGCCCCTCCTTCTCATCCCATGGCCACCCAAACCCTCTGGCTGCCCAACATCACACAGACACACACACACCATCATCATGTCGCCAGCAAGAGGAGCTTAGTCAACCTGGTTCGGTGCTCAAGCTGGCCCTTGCACCAGGCCTGGAAATTCAGCTTCAAAAAAAACAAAAAAAAACCCAAAAAAAAACAAGGAACTTACAGTAACCCTCTGCAAAAGCAAAAGCGGAGCCCATTCCTTTCATTTGCACCATCACAGCAAAACTTATATGTCACAAAAAACTTATATGTCACAACCCCTCTCCTGATGACCTGCCTCCCTGACACCTCAGCCCAGAGCTGCAGCAGCGCTGTTCTGATGCCTCAAAAATCCAAGAGCAGTGACAAGAGGAGAAAGATTGCAA